TTTTTTTTTTTTTTTTAAACTGGTAAGACTTGAATCCTTTGTGTGGAATAATCGGAAGTAAGTGAATAATTGAAACTTGATTGAAGTACATTTGGATAGTAGTTACAGATTTAAATAGTGTCATGAATATTGTTCTTTTGGCCTTGGGAAATTTATGTGTGAATTACATAGTTTGTGTAGTGCTGTGGTCTAAACAAATACGGGCTTTGTGGTTCTAATTGGTTAGCATGAAAATGATTAAAAATGTTAAAAGGCAGCTAGGTAAAAAGTGTTAAGTAGCAATAAAATTTGCTGTTTAATTTTTCTCTTAAGAAACAAAATTCCATTATGCCAAAGAATACTCAAAACTTAGCTGAAATATGTATTTTTTTATTTTTATTTTTGCTAGTCCTGAGGCTTGAATTCAGGGCCTGGGTACTGTCCCTGAACATGTTTTGCTCAAGGCTAGCACTCTACTACTTGAGCCATAATGCCACTTCTGCTTTTTCTGTGTATGTGGTGCTGAGGAATGGAACCCAGGGCTATGTGCATGGTAGGCCAGCACTCTACCACTGAGCCACATTCCCAGCCTTGAATTATATTTTGTACTTCTTCAGTCCTTGCCGTCAGTCTCTGTGGGAGGCATGGCTCCCTCCTCAAGGTGCTGACAGTATTTATATGTTTATTTTGTGGTGCTGAAACTTAAACCCAGGGCTCTTGTGTCTGCTGCGCAGGTGGTGTACCACTGCCCTCCACCCCTGGCCTGGTACTGGCCATTTGTGGGATAGAAGGCAGTGATGGGCAGAGTGTTCCTGGTAGAGCTGGTGATAGAGGGGTGGGAAAGGGGCTGGGAGCCCAGCAGGGGGCTTCTCTTCCGGAGTGCTGGTTTTGCTGCCAGTCATGTTTTATTCTCCAAGGGCCTTTCAGCTGTGTCTGGAGATATTTTTAGTGGTAAAACAGGAGAGCAGAGCGGCTGTTAACGATGCTGCTGACCCGCCTGTAGTGCACAGGGTGGGCACCACGCTGTACAGGAAGAGTCGCCCAGCCCGAGGTCACGGTGCTGAGCGTCTCCCCTACGTCCTCCGTCACTATCACTTCTGAGCCTTAGCAACAGCCACAGAACCAGCAGACCTCTCCCCTGAAAAAGATGTCGCGTATTTGTGTATGTCCCAGACAGTGGTGTTTGAGATGCAAAAATGATCAGACTGGTTTGCTAAAACCAGGTCATTTTTGAAGAGTTAAGTTTTCTTTAATTTGACATGGCTTATTTTCATAGATGGGTAAAAGTGGGAAGTTGATAACTGTAGTGTAACTGTGGACAGTTTTCCATGTGATTTACTGAGATCTGCTTTTTAGGATAAGAGAGAGGAGATTTAGCCATATCACATACATACCTTTAAAAAATTTTCTTTTATCTTTTAGGACTTATGGTTTATCCAAAACCAGTGAGTGCATTGGAATATACATTTAGTTTATCAGATCCGAATTCCTATAAAGGATATATTAACGATCTTAAGAGGTTTCTAAAATGTAAGTATATTTTCTTGTAGTAATGTGCAAAAGTTAGTCATTATAGATTATAGAACCTAGCACCGAATTATCATTACTTTTACAAACATTCTTAGTTTGTTTCACTTTTTTTTTTTTTGGGTCGGTCGTGGGTCCTGAACTCAGCCTGGGTGCTGTCCCTGAGCTCTTCAGCTGTAGACGAGCACTCTACCACTTGAGCCTCAGCCCCACTTCCGGCTTTTTCTGCTTATGAGGTGCTGAGGAATCGAACCCAGGGCCTCATGCATGCAAGGCAAGCGCTGTACCACTGAGCCACCTTCCCAGCCCCTTGTTTCACTTTTTTTAAGTAGACAAATGAGAGGATCTCTAAATATTCCAAAATGAGTTGTAAGAGTGTTCTAATTTATAGAACAACATAAATGTCTGATTAACAGAGCAAATTTGTATTATATAAAATAATGCCTCTGGACTTTTTTTTTGGTTAGTCATGGGGCTCAAACTCAGGACCTGAGCACTGTCCCTGAACTTTTTTTTTGCCAGTCCTGATGCTTGAACGCCACCTGGGCGCTGTCTCTGAGCTCCTTTTTAGCTCAAGGCTAGTATTCTTTCACTTGAAACCATTAGTGCTGCTTCTGACTTTTTTTGTGATTGGTTGGTGTTAAGACTTGTCCCACGCACTTGCCTGCCTGGGCTGGCTTCAAGTTGCAATCCTGGGAGTACAGGCGGGAGCCACAGCACCAGCTTGATGGGCTCTTCTTTTTTTCTTTTTTTTACTGCTGGTCCTGGGACTTGAACTCTGGGCCTGGGCAAGCACTCTACCACTTGAGCCACAGCGCCACTTCTGGCCTTTTCTGAGTTGTGTATTGGAGATAAGTATCACAGCCCGGCTGATGGGCTCTTCTTTTTTTTGGGGGGGGGGGGTCCGGTCGTGGGTCCTGAACTCTGGGCCTGGGCGCTGTCCCTCAGTTCTTCAGCTCAAGGCTAGCGCTCTACCACTTGAGCCACAGCGCCACTTACGGCTTTTTTCTTTTTTCTTATGTGGTGCTGAGGAATCGAACCCAGGGCCTCGAGTATGCAAGGCAAGTGCTCTACCACGGAGCCACCTTCCCAGCCCTGATGGGCTCTTCTTGATGGTGCTCTCAGCTGCACACACGAGCATTGCTCCCTAGGGGAGAGGACTGTGCACCCAGGTCCCTGGTTGTGAAATGAGCGCCCCCCTCCTCCTCCGCACTCCTGCTTGCTCTGCTGTCTTCAGGGGTTCTGCTGTCTTCACCTGGGGTTCTGCTTTGGAGGACTTGCCCCCTAGGGAATTCTGTGACTCGCAGCCTGTAGTCCCAGCACCCGTCCTTGCCTGGTTGATTCATTTAACTTTTGGGGGTACTCTAAAATCCCTTACTTTCCAGTCTGTCAATTACCTGTGGCAGAACTTCTGCCTCTCTTTAGTAAAACCGCGTGGTTTCCTGAGTGGAGCTGCCCTCTGGGTCTGCTCGCTGCCCGCTCTCTTCTTTAGGAGGGCCATTCTGCCTTCGTACAGAAGCTTGCAGAGGTGCTGCGGCGTGGCTGGTGCTGCTGACCTGCTGTAAGACGCCTAGAGCCTCCGGAGCAGCAGGAGGCGCCCTCCTTCCCGGTGTCACCTGCTCCCAGGGCTGGCCTTGTCTTAGAAGACCATTGCTCAAAGGATGCTGTGTTCCTGCTTGTGTTCAGTGTCCTGTCTTGTATTTCCTTTCCAGCATATTCTTTAGAAGAACAGAAGAATCTCACTGTGTGTCCTGACGGAACACTCTTTGAGCAGTCGGGCCCGGTCTACGCCGCATGCCAGTTTCCTGTGTCCTTACTTGAAGCTTGCAATGGTACCGAAGATCCTGATTTTGGCTACTCCCAAGGCCAGCCTTGTGTTCTTGTGAAAATGAACCGCGTACGTATGTGTTCACCCCTGTTACTGCTTCAGGCCGTCTTTAAGGAGCTGCCCATCAGTGCTAGATTATTTCTTTGGCTTGGGGTAACGCCTTATTGCTTTGGAAAAAATACACCACAAAGGGTTGGTGGCTCAGTGATTACTCTGTTTAACATTTTCTGAATGTTTGGTAGCCAAGTATAGCTTTATATTTTACAGATATGTCATTAAGTAGTGGCATTACAGACACAGCCCTGTTCTAAGGAGCTCAGCGTGCGGAGTGCAGAGGAAGCCATTCGCTGAGCATGTGGTCCCGCCCAGAGCCTGGCTGCTGTTCCGACGCTCTGGGCCAGGGCCGCTCGAGGCCCGCGGGCAGGAAGGAGCTGTTCTCTCTATCACTGAAGTCATTACTAAGCTAGTTGCTACTTTTTGTTCTGGGGCTTGAACTCAGAGCCTGGGCGCTGTCCCTGAGCTTTTTTTTTTTTTGGGGGGGGGCGAGAGGGGGTCCGGTCATGGGGCCTGAACTCTGGGCCTGGGCGCTGTCCCTCAGCTCTTCAGCTCAAGGCGAGCACTCTACCACTTGAGCCACAGTGTCACTTCTGGCTGTTTTCTTTTTGCTTATGTGGTGCTGAGGAATCGAACCCAGGGCCTCAGGTATGCAAGGCAAGCGCTCTACCACTGAGCCACCTTCCCAGCCCCACCCTGAGCTTCTTTTGCTTAAGGCTAGCACCCTACCACTTGAGCCACAGCACCACTTCCAGCCTTTTCTGTGTCTGTGGTGCTGAGGAATGGAACCCAGGGCTATGAAGCTGGGTGAGCGCTGTATCACTAAGCCACCTTCCCAGCCCTAAGCCGGTTCTAGTGTCCCCAGTGCAGTTGGGCTGTGGCGTGTGGAGCTGTGCTGGGGAGGTGGGCTGAGCCCCGAGTGGCCACACCAACCCTTCTGTAGCCTCCCGACAGTCACTGCGCCTGGATAGAGGCTTGCGTGACCAAGGTCAGCTGTGAGTGGGCGCTGTGCAGCCTGCCCTCGCTGGTGAGGGGCAGCACTCTGGAAGTGCTCCTGCCCATGCCCAGAATTCATTTTAATACCCTAAATAAAGTTGGGACAGATGTGCCTGCCCTCCCCCGCCCCCAGCAGCGAGGAGGAAATTCCAGCAGAAGCAATGATTCAATTTAATCCATGTTTCTTGCCCTCAGATCATTGGATTAAAGCCTGAAGGAGAACCAAAGATAGGATGTGTTTCCAAGGTTAGTATTGAACGGCATCTGCGGAGAGCTTCCGCCTCCAGAGTCTCGTCGTCTCCTCTCTGACCCCCTCCCTGTGTCCTTCTAGACTCCAGTCCACACAGCCCATGTCACGTAGCCCTGTCTCCTAATGATGGCCCGATGGACGTCCACGTCATGTGTGCCGCATCATGCTCTGTACACCATATTTCATGGCTTCCTCTCAAACTAGTAGTGCTGAAGTGACTCCAGCCCAAGGAGTAAGGCTGACATTGGGGTTGTGATCACAGATGTCTTCATACTATATCGTGACTGTTTTCTTAACAGTACATACACACGGTGATCTAACCGTCAGTACTTGAGAGTTTATGAAATATGGTTCATCTCCTTAAGGTGCAGGTGTTCATATACTCCTCCTTCCTACTTAGTTTTTGCCAGCATGCCGTGCAGTTTTCATCTCATAACTTCTTTTGTTTTCTTTCCATGCTGCATCTACTACTAAGACAAATGGGTAAAAGATGGGTAAGAGTTCTAAGGGAGAGATCCTTACGCTCTAAACTTAGTCTTATGGTTGTGTTAAGTATTAGGATTCAATCCAGTTGTACAGCAGAAGTGGTGTTCCTGATGGGTTGTGGTAAATCATGGAGGGCTGTGGAGAGCTGGCGCTGGGTTCCGTCCCAGGAGGCTCCTCATCGGTGCAGGAGCTCACTAGTTGCTCACTCATTCCTCTCCTTGGGCCTCTACCCAGCTCCAGAAAGCAGAGGCAGGGCAGGAAGAATGACCGTTCAGGGTCATCCTGGCTGCTCAGTGAGAATCCTGCCTGATGAAAGCTAGAATCTTCCTTAAGTCTACATACCACGTGTAAATGTTTCCAGAAATGTCAAGAAACCCTATCATGTAACGCCTTTATTAGAATTTACTTGCACAGCTTTCCAGCAGCAAGTTCCTGGGCCTGGGCCCCACACTGCAGCCAGGTTGGCCTGCCGATCCACGACCATGCCCTTCTGGAGCAGGCCCAGGCCCTTGGATGAGCCTGCGTCTAAGATGGGGGTCCTGCTAGGCCAGCAGGACAGACCCTGCCTCTGGAAGCCTCCAGCCACAGGGATCTGCCCCAGAGCCCTCGAGCCCCGCCTCTGCCACGCCCCTCTACCCCTTGAACCCTGTGTGGAGACCCCTTGTACTTTAGGTTTTGAGGAGGGGCCTAGCACCAAGCTTGGACCTCAACTTTCCTGTCTTCCTTTTTAGCTGGGATAATACTGTGCCACCACGCCTTGCTTGTTTAAGATGGTTCTTGCTAACTCTGCGATCCTTCCAAGCTCTGCTTTCAGAGTAGCGAGGATTACAGGCCAGAGCCACTGTGATTTGCCATGCCCTTCCTCCCTCTCCTCCTCCCTCCTTTTGGCTGAGCTGGGGATTGAACCAGGGCTTTATACCACTGAGCTCTTGTCTCCTTCATGTGTTAAACTTATTTTTCTACATTTTATCCGTGTAACCTTTGCTTTGTAGAATAATTGGAAACTGTTAATGAACTCCAGTGCTAATGTCCAAATTTCATCTTGCTGTCCCTTTTGCCTTAGAGGTGTGTGTAAAGTATATACTTCTGTAAAGTAACCCAAGTAGGTGTTGTCTCTGTTTCGTTGTGGGAACATCTGCAGAGCTCATCCCTCAGTAGGGTGAACAGGGAGCAGTCCTGGTTGTGCTGTGTGTCTGGCACGTGGAGCCTTTCTTCAGTATCTGCAAAATTTTATTTGCTAAAGTTGATTTTCTCAAGTGACATGATAGAGGCAGATTTTTCATTTAACTTAGTTGCTCATGGGTGTGTTAGCTCTGAATGGGGTTCGCTTATTGAAGTAGAATTGGTTAACGTAAGCTGGGCACCAGTGGCTCCCGCCTGTCATCCTAGCTACTTAGGAGGCTGAGATCTGAGGATCAGAGTTTGAAGTCAGCCCATGCAGGAAGGTCAGTGAGACTCTTATCTCCAATGAACCACCAGAAAACTAGAAGTGAAGCTGTGGCTCCGAAGCTGTGGCTCGAGTGGTAGAGCGCTCGCCTTCAGCAAGGAAGCTGAGACAGTGCTCAGGCCCTGAGTTCAAGCCCAGGACTGATACAAACACCCTTTTTGTTTAAATGTTTACCCCAGTGTCAGGGATGGACTCCAAGGCCTTCCCTAAGTTACTCAGGTGTATCTTGAGCCCTGCCGGCAGGCCTGCCACAGGGAGACTGTGAAGGAGTGCACCTGCGGGGGTGGTGGGGGGTGTCTGGAGCATGCTGTAGCAGTGGGAACGTGGCTGCCAGCCCCTGCTACGCTGGAGTTGGAGGTGTGCTCTTATCACACCTCGTCTCTACACAGGTCCTTAGAGCCCAGGAGGTGCCCTAGGGGAGGGCCTTCTCCCCCACTTTAGGGGTGTGTTGTGTACCTGTTGGCCCATCCCCCTGTCACGTGGTGCTTCGTGGTGATGAATGTAGCGGGTGGAGTGGAAAGAAGAGCTCCCCTGCATGCACGCATCTCCACTGTAGAGATGAGTTTATTTAAACTGGAAGTTCATGTGTTTGCAAGTACTTGGTGATTTGCGGGTGCTCTCCTGTGTTCATTCGTGGGCTGTGAGAGTGGAGTCTGCCTTGCATCCTGTGTTCACCTCCCCAAATTTCACACCCACCACCTCTGGGCCTGAGCATGGCTCATGGCGGCTGCTGTGGTCTGGAGCTGCGGCAGCCTCTGCGCTTGGTCCAGGCTGGCAGCTGTGTCTGCTGCCAGTAGCCGTTGTTGGGCCATAGGACACAGTAGGACTGGCTGGGGAGTGCGGTGTGGGAAGAGGTGCGCCGCTGTGTGCAGGCTTCCGCGGGGGAGGCCCGCAGTGAAGCCCAGCACCCTGGCAATTTTGGCTGCGCCTCAGGCAGCGCCTGCCACAGCGCTGCGCTGTGCACGTGGACTTCTCCCCTTCGCCCTCACCTGAAGTGTTTCTCTGCTTTCCCACAGGATGAAACCACAGCCTCCATATCAACATACCCCGACCAGGGAGTCATGGACTTAAAGTATTTTCCATATTATGGGAAAAAACTACACGTAAGTAACGAGGTTCTGTGTGGCGTTAGCTGTAAGGAAGCGGCAGCCGCCTGGGTGGGCTGACGCCTCTCGAGTGTAACTGAAAGTTTATGAGGAGGCAAGCAGAACAGAGAACGCACGCTCACACGTGGAGGGCGGTGCTTTTCACCGCTCACACGTGGAGGGCGGTGCGCTGAGTTGAGAAGGCAGACAAGTTCTAAAGAAGTACAAGGGCTCGCCCAATGTGCTGTGACTTGTGTGGTGGCTTTTTTCTGGGGGGGGGGGGCGGTTGCGGGGCTTGAACTCTGGGCCTGGGCGCTGTCCCTCAGCTCTTCAGCTCAAGGCTAGCGCTCTACCACTTGAGCCATAGCGGCACTTCTGGCTTTTTTTTTCTTTTTGCTTATGTGGTGCTGAGGAATCGAACCCAGGGCCTCAGGCATGCAAGGCAAGCGCTCTACCACTGAGCCACCTTCCCAGGCCTTGTGTGGTTTTTTTTGTTTTTGTTTTTGTTTCAAGTACAAGACATTCTTGAAGGAAAAGGGAGGCTGAGCCAGGGTGGAAGCCTGGAGCAGGGCTGGGTGGATGCAGATGTGAACACGTGTGTCCTTGTCTGCCAGGTGGGGTACCTGCAGCCGCTTGTGGCTGTCCAGGTCGCCTTCGAAGCTAACAGTACCAAGAGGGAAGTGACCGTCGAGTGCAAGATCGACGGGTCTCCCAACTTGAGGAACGAGGATGATCGGGACAAGTTTTTGGGACGAGTCGTGTTCAAAATCACAGCGCGCGCCTAGGATGCATAGGTGGTCTCCACAGAATAAACGTGTTGTCGGTCTTCGTGTGTCAGCTGGACCTGCCATTCTAGAGTTAGGAGACCGCCCTGGAGGACAGCGGGGCACATGACACTTGGCTCCGCGTGTGGCGTTCCGTGTCCTGCCCTCACTTCCTGTGGCTCTGCGCCGGCAGCCCACGTGCAGCCAGCTAGGACCGTGCCCGGCTGCAGACGTGTGCCACGCCACACCGCGCCACACCGCGCCGCCGCCTCCTCCCGGGCTCGCTGTCGTGCCTAAAGCTTCCTGTGCTGTGCTGTGTAAATACTTCATGGATTTAACACTGGTTAACTGTCAGATTGCGATGCCAACAGAGCTGGTGCCTTGCCAGCATCAAGTGACTTCCTAGCTGCAGGAAACGTGTGTGTGAGACGTGAGGAACAGAAATAAACGTGGATCTGAAAGTGTTACCTCGGCGTTTTTGGTTACTTTTCACCTGCTTGGTCTGTGGGTGTTTTGGTGAGCAGCACACGTGTCTTGCTGGAAAGCATGTGAAGCGCTGGTGGGGTTTGTGTCTTGTGCCAGGGGCGAGAACACAGGTGAAAGTGTGTAGGTTAGTCAGGATGATCACGCACCTGATTTTTTTATGGAATTCAGTTCATGTGACTTAAGTTGTATAACAGTTCACGAAATATCTTCCTACTGCTTTTATTTGGCCGATTGTGGGCTAATAAAGGATACACATTCTGAAATGTAAAGCCTTGGACCGTTCAAATACTGAAAGCTTAACGTCCATCAGTGGGGTTCGGTTCCGGTGCTCTGCTCGGCAGTGTGGACTCGGCCCTCCTTCAGGTGTATGCGGTGGCTTGTGTGATCTGCAGCGCCTTTTACCTTCTCTAGTTGTGCTTTTCTCCTTTTCCTTTGGGCAATCAGGGCTTGATCTCAGGGCCTGGGTGCTGTCCCTGAGCCTCTTGGTCCTCAAAGCTAGAACTCTACCGCTTTGAGCCACAGCACTTCTGCTTTTCTGATGGTTAGAGAGGAGTTTCACAGTTTCCTGTCTTGGCTAGCTTCAAATTGTGATCCTCAGTTCTCAGCCTCTTGAAGTAGCTAGGACTACAGGCGTGAGCCGCCAATGTTTGGCCTCCTTTTCCTCTGGTTTAAATAGCCGCATTGTGTTGAGCTTTTGCTTGTAGCTGCAGGTAGGGCGGGTGGGACACATCAGCAGGCTTCTGTGGGCTGGGGGAGCTGCGCTGGCTGCCCTGGCTCCAGGGCCATGGCGTCGGTCCCCTGGAGACCTCTTGTGCGCTCTGCTGTAAGGAGCGAGTGGTGGCCATCCTGCGCCAGGCTGCAGAGGCCACAGCCACGGCCTGCTGGAGCAGGCCTTGCGAGCAGCTGTGGCTCACGGGAGTGGGTGGAGGAGTGTGGTGTGCATGGGATTTCTGCGTCAGTGAGCAGACAGGAGCAGATCCAACCGTGGTATGAAAGGTCCATGAGGTTTCTTGTCACTACAGGAGCCCCTCGCCAGCCTGACCGCTGTGACCCCCCCCCCTTCCTGCGTCTGTGGGTGAGCCACAGCCTTGAGTGTGCAAGGGCCCTGGGGTGGGGAAACTGGCTTAGCACCCCACTCCTTTCTCTAGATGTTTGTGGAGTCAGCCCTGAAGACAGGGAGGCCAGACGTGTTGGGCTTGAGGGATGGGAGTTCCTCCTACTTTGGAGCATACGCAGTGGTCGGTGCGTCTCCTTAGCTTGCCGGGGGATTCCACCTACCCTGATCCACCGGCTAACAGGAGTCAGGGCTGCACCTTTGTCAACTGGGTCCTGGCCTGGGTCCACATGGGGATGGGGGACAGGGACAGGCAGAGACCAGCCGTCAGTTAACGTTGACAGATGAAGGTCATTGAAAACAACCAGCTGTTGATCGGGGCAGCTCAGAGAAGTCTAGAAGCTTTTTAGTCCCAGAGTTGATGGTGCTGTGCCGTTGAATCCTGCACTAAACCCAGAGGCTGTCTGCCGGGCCTGGTGGCAGGGCGCCCCCTGGTGGGCATTTCTGTGGGAGCCGCAGCTTGCAGCTGCTGCTGGGGGAGAGTTCTGAATGCATCTGTTGTCTTGACGGGCTGGCCAGGCTCTCCCTGCCTGCACCGCGTGAGCGCACGTCGGGAGGAACACCCCCTCCTGCGCCTCACTTGGCTCTCCTTGCTTTACTGGGAGTTGAGTTTGTGAAGATGACTTGCCCCACAGGGAAGCAAGGGGCTCTAAATCCATTTTGAAGCAGAGGGGTGTGTGTGTGTGTGTGTCCGTCCATCCGTCCCCAGTAGATGTGGTGTGACAGCAGACTGTAGTCTGCTGTGTAACTGCACGCCTAAGTACCAGAATTAAAGGTGAGTGTGTGCAAGCAAGGTTAGCCTGGGCTTTGCAATGTTTGGACAGGCCTGGAACTCGGTAAATGAGTCAGGGTGCGAGAAGAGTTGGAACGCCTAGGCCTAGGGTAGATCTTAGGGTCACCCCCACCCCCACCCCCACCCCCACCCCCACCCCCACCCCCACCCCCACCGGGAAGCACACTTGAGGTGTGTGGTGGTGGGGCAGGTGGGTTTGATTTCTGAGCCTCCATGAACTCGGCCTGAGTGTCTGTTCCTCAGCTCAAGCCTGGCGCTCACATCACTAGAGCCACAGCGCCTCTTCTGGCTTTGTGGTGCTGAGGAATCGAACCCAGGGCCTCTTGCATGCGAGGCAAGTGCTCTGCCACTGAGCCACCTTCCCAGCCCCGCTAGTGAGGGGTTTTCTTTGGTAGTGGGGTTAACACCGGCCATGAGTGTGCGCACCTGAGCTGTCTATTGTTGCTAAGGAATAGGGGTCACTTGGGAGCAGATCCTCTCTCCAGGGCTCCCTGCTCTGCTCAGGCTGCGGGAAGCCTCGGTTACCTGCGTACTGGCCCTTAGTGCCGGGGGTGGGGGTGGGCTGATGAGGTGGCCATGAAACAAGCTCAGCAGAGCAGGGGAATGGACTGGGAGGGGGAGACAAAGCTTCCCAGGGGGAATAGACGCGAGCGGGAGGGAGGGACTTGGTCGGGTAGAGAAAATGGACACAGCTGGAGCCCGAGGATCGAGAGTTGGAACTGCTTCCCCTGGGGCCCGCAGGCACACCCTAGAACGTGCGCAACGGCAGCGCCTTCCAGACCTTGATAAAAGAATGTTAGTGGAGGTACTAGCTGGCTCAGAGCTGAGAAACATTTGACCTTAGCAGTCAGGGCCTAAAGTGCTCAAAGCTGGTGCTCTACCACCTGAGCTATCAGCGCCACTTCCAGTTTTGAGTGGTTTCTTGCAGATAAGAGTCTCACAGACTTTCCTGCCTGGGCTGGCTTTGAACTGTGATCCTCAGATCTCAGCCTCCTGAGTAGCTAGGAAGACAGGCGTGAGGCAGATGTTCATAGGGATGGGCAGGGCAGGGCAGGTAGGCCCAAGCTGTGTCGCAAACATCCCGGCCTGGTCAGATGAACAGAAATATGGCGTTTATTTACAAGGCGGGGCTCTGCAGCCTGCAGGGCGGTTGGGGGTGTTGACCCGCTGGAGGGGCCCTGCCCCCGGCACGGGGCTGTGGGAGGCCTGGAGCCTGCGGAGGGAGCCCGGCCCGCAGCGCACGGTGCCCTCCCTGCCGGCTTGGACAGCCTCCGGCCAGCTACAACAGTGCACCAACCTGGCTTCCTGTGCCCACCCCGGCTCCCCGCAGCAGGTCAGCACAGGTCACCCCACACGCAGGGCACACATCCCGGGTCCCAAGCGTGGCTGGTCCAGCTTTATTCAGGGGCCGAGGAGGAGGAGGAGGAAGAGGAAGAGGAGTCCTCGTCGTCGTCCTCGTCATCCTCGTTGAAGGAGCTGGGCGTCTCGCCCCGGGACCCCGCGCCGCTGCCCAGCCGGCCCTGGGTGGCCAGGAGTGGGCCCGCAGCTAGGGCCCCCTCAGTGCGCGCGCAGAGCCCTGGGGGACCGCTGGGGACACAGACACGGGACTGGTCAGCGCCCTGGGTGCTGCCCTGCCCCCCGGCCCCCACCTGGGGTAGCCGCACCTACCTGGGCTGCGGCGCCGGCCCGCTGGAGGCTGGGCCTGACCTGGGAACAGGCTGCAGCCAGGACGCCCCCTTGGAAACGTCTGCGGGGAAAGACAGACACATGGAGGCCGGAACTCCCCCACCCTCCGCCTCGCTCTCCTGTGTGTCTTCCCCTCCGTGCTCTCCTCTTGCCTCCTCCATTCTTTTCGGGGTGGGGGTGGGGGACTAGGACCCTCCCCCATCAGCCTGAGCAGCTAGGGTGAGGGGCGCCCCCCTCCCCCAAGCTCTCTTACCTGTGACATAGGCTTCCAAGGCCTTGGGCACCAGGGACTTGGCCACTTTGAGGTCCTCCAGAGAGCAGCGGCCCGACTCCAACCCGAAGGACATCCCCATCCGCTTGAGCACTTCCATGTCGTCGTGGATCTCGAAGGCGTTGTCAAAGTTGAAGAGGTACTCAAACCTGCGGGTGACCAGGACGCTGCCGAGGGACCCGGGGCTGCGTGCCAGCCTGGGCTCCCCCTTCTGCAGCGCTGTGCTGCTGAGCTCCCAGCCCTGTCCTTTTGCTGGCAGGACGGGTCCTGACGGGGTGGCCACGGGCGTCTGGTTGCACACAGGAGCTAGGGGCATCCTGCCTCCGCCTCACATGGAGCAACGTGACTTGTGGGAGGAAGTCCTGTCAGGAGGGGCTGAGAGGCCTCCATCAGCACATACACAGCACTCCTGCAGAGTCACAGACAGCTGGACACGGTACACACCTGTAATCCCAGCACTCGGGAGCTGAGGGCAGGATGACCCAAGGGAAGGCCAGTCTGGGTCTCAAAAAGATAGGAGGTGGGGCTGGGAAGGTGGCTCAGTGGTAGAGCGCTTGCCTTGCATGCCTGAGGCCCATGGATTCAATTCCTCAGCACCACATAAAACAGAAAAAGCCAAAGTGACGCTGTGGCTCAAGTGGTAGAGTGCTAGCCTTGAGCTGAAGAGCTGAGGGACAGCGCCCAGGCCCAGAGTTCAAGCCCCATAATCGACTCCCCCCCCCCAAAAAAAAAAAAATCTGGTGAGGGTGGACATTTTACGGCATATACGCCGTATTTGAAGCAAGTGTATGCACAGGTGTCTGCCACAGGCAAATGGCGATGCACAATGGTCTGCATCGGGAAAGATGGCATCACCGTAGGGCACAGGCAATGTCCGCAATCCAGGCCTCAGTAAGCCCTTCATTTCCCCAACTTGAGAGTCACCGCACTAGGGAGGCACGGTCCCGTGGGAGGAGGGAAGCTGCAGCTGTGAAGTCACGCTCCCACGCAGCAGGTACGGGTCCTGGCAGGGCTTGTCTGCCTACGGCTTTTCTAAACTGGCAGCGGGACTGACTGCAGCTTTGAATTTTGCAGCACAGGGCCCTGTCTCGAGCGCACTGTGAAGGATGTGCGGCTCTGAAGCTTCTGCATGGAAGGTAAGTTTAGAACACTCCAACCTGCTAAAGTGCTGCAGTGAACATTGCTGAATGTCAGGTGGGTGGCGCGTGGCAGCAAGATTAGACTTCAAGGCCAGCCAGACCGAAAACCAAAGTGGATGTCACGTGCCTGTATTGGCAGCACTTGCAGGCGGGAGGGCCTGTGTGCAGGCGGGCCCTACTCACTTGTCGCTGGAGATGCTGCAGTCTATCACGGTCTTTCTGCTGGTGTTGATGAGCACGAAGGGCAGCTGGATGGTGGAGTTCACCGCGGGGGGACCCTGGTTTTGCTGCTCATTTTGCCGGTTTCTCTGCACTAGGTTCTTGAAAGCAATTTGCTGCAATGTTCAATATAAAGATGGTAGTCACTTTGTGTGTGGGTAAGCTGCATGGGACTGAAATGCAAACAATACACTTAAGATACCTTAAGCTGGGGCTGGGAAGATGGCTCAGTGGTAGAGCGCTTGCCTTGCATGCCTGAGGCCCTGGGTTCGATTCCTCAGCACCACATAAGCAAAAAAGAAAAAAGCCAGAAGTGGCGCTGTATCTCAAGTGGTAGAGCGCTAGCCTTGAGCTGAAGAGCTGAGGGACAATGGCCAGGCCCAGAGTTCAGGCCCCATGACCGGACCCAACTTAAGCTATAATGAGTCCAGAAATTTTTACGGAAAACAATTAGATTCAATTCTGTGAGATCCTAAGAATACTACTGCCTTAAAATAGATGCTGTGAACACTAATCCCTTCAAAGTCACTGTTGGCAAGAACTAGCTGGCACGGCGGGGCAGGGGTGCTCCAGCCCGCCTAGAGTGGCCGGCCCCAGCCTGCACGCAGGGCCAGGAGAGGCCTTCCTTCCCAGGTGGCGATGAATCGCTTGACTTAGGTTTTTGATTCTCGTGCTCTGCTGTAAAGCAGCTACCCTAAGGGCGGTTATAAATGAATATATAACTTTATAAGTTGGAGAGAAAGTTTGTTTGCACTGATGGCAGTTTCTGTTCGTTCCAGGCTGAGCAGCTCCTGGCAGTGCTGAGCCTGGAGGGACAAGGGTTCGTCTTACGCTGCTGTTCCTCCTTCAGGGTCCTATGAATGGTGGGAGGCGTGGGATATGTTTACCTACTGGAGCTGTGGCTCAAGTGCGCAAACCTTGAACCCAGACCAAGCACAAAAAACCCCAAACCCTACTCCGGATGCTAAGATCTGGAGGCTCAAACTTCCAAGTCAGCCTGGACAGGAAAACTGGTGTGGCTTGAGGCATGGTGCTGCCCAAATAAACAGAGTGCCTCGTGTTGAAGATGTGCTCTTCTGACCCAATCAGAATCACCCATCAGGTCTCTTCTGTACACTAGGTGTCAACCTCCACCCCTCACCCCCCAAAAAACCTATTTTCTTTTATGGAAGACATTAGAAAAGTGAAGGGACAGCTTGGCTCACTCTCCTGTATTTCCTACCTGAACTAAATGTGCACACAACTCCAGAAGATCCAGCCTCACATGGTTCTACACAATAGCTTACATTACAAAGTCAGCCAAATTCTTCCAAGTTATCTAAAAATGGTGCTTTGCAATCTTGAACTCTTGGGCGTTGCTTGAACTCTGGGCACTGCCCCTGAGCTTCTTTTGCTCAAGACCAGCACTCTACCACTTGACCACTTCTGGCTTTTTCTGAGTAGCTGATTGAAGATAAGCGTTTCACACAAAATTGGTATTTCTGAAGCTTTATCAAAGCACTGCATAGATGTAGCATTCAGGTGGGCTTCACTATTGTCCTTAACACTGATTGCCTCCATTGAACTCCTGGATTAGAGAGTAACACCCCAACAGTCCAAGTAAGGATGAGTCCCGCCAGGACAGGAAGCGCGGGGTTAGGGCACCCCATTAGGCAATGGTCACTGTGAGAGGAGGGCCAGCCCTGCGGCCTTACCTGCAGGAGCAGCTCTTGGAGCTGAGCCCGCTTCTGCTTTATCCGCTCCATCCGCCTCTGCTTCTCTATCTTTAAAGTGTAAAAGATGCAGAGTGTCAATGAGCAGCAAGAACACCAGTCATGGATTAAAGGGCGGGACAGGGACCGCATGGTGTGTCCACAGCAATGGTGTCCTGCCAGTGGCCCTACGTACTTGTGGTGCTCCGCTAACACGGGCCTCTGGCCCCGCACCCGCGCCTTCTGGCCTGCCACACACAGCGGTGTGCGTGATGAGCCAGTGTGCAGTGCTTGGCACCCTCCTGCGCAGTGAAGGAGCGCTGCAGGGGAACAGGCCTCTGCTGCCCACGTCCAGCAGCGGAGCCAGGGGAGCCGAGCTCGAGAGCCCCCCTGCCACTGCCCTGGCCGCACACGATGCTGCTTGCCAAGGTGTGTGGTCAGCTGACTCTCACCGGAGCAAAGCTCTTCCCACAGGCCTCACCTGGTCACACGCTTCCCGGCAGTTCCCAGCCTCAACTATCTTCCAACTACCTGAGAAATGGCCACTTGCACCTGAGGCTGCGCTGCCCTGCGTGGGGTCGGAGCCACACTCTGGGCACGCAGCCGCAGCCATAGCCGCCACATCTTCGGTGACTCTTACCTTTCCTCTCCTCAGTTACCACCACAGTTTCATATCTAGATTTTGGGGTCCAGCTCTGACTTGTCTAACTGAGTTTTAATGTCTCCAAAAGCCACTGTTCATCCCGCTCACTCCATTTATGGCCGTGATTAAGTCAAACCAATCACAAGTGTGTGCAGAAAGCATGCTCACACACGGGAGGTTTCTGTATTGCTTGAAGACATCACAAGGCAGGAAAGCTGAGCATCGTCTTCATTCTGATACACTAATGGTCTGGCAAATGTAGAGAAATGCTGGCATATGCAAACCTCACATTTCCACATAAAAATGTTCTGATGTGCAGCGACACCAACCACTTTGTGAAGAGCTTCCTTACCTCCAGGTTTTGACATTCCTGAGCAGAATTGGTGGGCAGGCCGATCCATTTGATTTCTTTCTTCTCCTTTGAAATTATGTTCATCGCCATTAACACATTCAAGGCATCATAAACCCTTCGCCGAATGTTCTTCTGATCGTAAGCCTGCTAAAAGTATTTTTCACTGAGCGACGAGGGTTAAAAGTCACATTACTTTGATATATTAAAATCAGTACAGTAACTTCAAAATGCTAAACAAATTTTATGCCACTGAAAATAATCTTCAATACCAATGAGGAAATAAACACTATCATCAGACTGACGTTGGGAAGTATAAAACAATTCGCCGGGCAGGAGGAAGATCATTTTAAAACAAGTGCTGGGAGATGCAGGATAGGGTATGGACTCGAGAGGGGACTGAGTCACAGGTAGGCTACACTCCGTTACATTAAAAAAAAAAAAAAAACCCAAGGTGGGTCTGGTGGTGCAGGTCTGTAATCTTAGCTACTCGGAGCTGCAGTCAGGGAAAGCAGTTCAAGACCGGCACAGGCAAGAAGCTCTCTGGACTCTCAACCAACGGCCAGCAGTGGCAGGGGAAGCCTCTGTGCACAACCTCGGCCTAGGTCAGCCAGCGCTGGCACAAGGCCAGGCCTTTTTCAATGTGGAACTGGAGGTGTGGCTCAAGTGGTAGAGCGCCAGCCACGAATGAAAGAGCCAAGTGAAAGCAGGAAGGCCTGAATACCAGCATACAACAGCCCAAAGCCAAGTAGCTTCCCATCCCAGCTGAAAATGTCTATTTAAATAAAACAGTCATTTCAAAACATCAGCACACTGAGGTGGAGGTGGTTCCTAGCTCTTCCCATCCTCCGCTCAAGGAAGACTGGCCCTATGAGGGGAACCGCGTTGCTCCCCAGAACCTCACAACCAACCTACCGAATCAGCTGCCAAATGGTTATTTGAGTTGGTGAACTCCGATACCAGCTCGTCAGCTACTTCGTTATATGACGTTGTACCTTTCCGTTGAACTTTCTCACACACTTTCATTGAAAAATGCCTCAAGCCCTTTCCATTCTTATCTCCCTTTCTGCTTCGTTTACTAGGAGAAAATAAATTGTATCAAAAATGTATATTCCATTATACTTGTTAGAGGTCTCCCTCCTTCACCAAACTGTAAGATGATATAAGAAGACAGCATCAGCTCTTGTTCTGAGTGGTAAAAATTAAAAGCAAATAAAGAGGAGGAAATGTTACCAAATTCAATTTTTACCGTAAGGGAATGATAAAGCACACAGTGCTTTTCTCTGCCCACCACTTGTTTAGTTAACAAATACTGAACGTGCAATATTTACAAATGTGCACTAAACATGGTGCCAGAGTTTCACTGTGTCCCTTAGAGTTCCCAGTGTTCCCGTATTTTGACTCATGCCTGTCATTCTAGCTACTCAGGAAGCTGATATCTGAGGATAATGGTTTGAAACCGGCCTAAGCAGTTAAGTCTGTGAGCCTCTTATCACCAATTAGTTACCAAAAAGCCACAAATGCAGCTGTTCATGGCTCAAGTAGTAGAGCACCTGCCTTTGAGTGAAAAAGGCAAAAACACAAGTCCCCGAGTTTAAACTCCAGTAGCAGTGTGCACACGGTACACGCGTGCGTGCATACACACAAACAGCAAACAAAGGTACAGAGGAAGAGTATGGTATGTAAATGCGTGCACATGCCATCACTGTACATAAATACAATTATTTAAACAATGGAGAGAGAGAGAGGGGAGAGCACATGGAAAGTGGGGCTGAAACCCAGTCGTCGGCCCCAACCTGGCCCTGGGTTTGAGATGTAGCATCAAACCCCAACATCAAGGAGACAGTCACGTTTCAGTGATCGCTTGCCAGCCACGTTACCGGCATCAGTCAGGACATGGAACATGGGATATACAACAAAGCTGACCAGTCCTCGTCTGCGGTGCAGGGTGTCAATACTTCCTCTGTCTTTAAAACCAGGACTTAACCAGCATGGAAGAAAGGGCTGAGATGTAATTAAAAGGGACAGCAAGATTTAAGAAAACTGGTCATGATCTCAGATGGGGGTAGTAGGCGTCTGTTCGCCAGGGACTGGCGGCTCACGCCTGTCATCCTAGCTACTCAGGAGGCTGAGATATGAGGATCGCGGTTCAAAGCCAGCCCGGGCAGAAGAGTTCCCATGAGATTCCAATGAACTACTCAAAAACTGGGTGTGGGGCTGTGGCTCAAAGTGGCAAAGCACTAACCATGAGCAAAAGCGCTCAGGAATAGCGCCCACGACTACCACCACCAATGGAAGTTAAGCAACAGAATGAGTAGCAACGGAATTAGAACAAGCTTAACTGCAACCCAGGCATTAAGTCTGGAAAGTCTGCCCCACAATAATAAAGATCCCCAAACTTAATTTGCCTCTAAATTGGAGAACCCACTACAGAACACGGCAGCCTGTGAGATCCCCACGCAGAGCCGCTGTGTGCGTCTGTGCTGGGACGAGGGAGTCACCACAGTACTTCATACAAGTCACGTGCAAAGCAAAGACTGCTGAAAGCAGAGGCCCAGGGGTTGTTTCGAAAGAACCATGTACGTAGGGGTTTAAGGTAAATACATCTCAGGTCAGCAATTTTAGACTTTTTAAAGGACGGTGGGGTTTTGTGAAGGCGGCCAGGAGGTGGTATCAGGGAGGCTACAGTGGCTGTGTGGCTGGTTTGCTCTGCGTCACACACAGCAGAGCCCTGCCCCCAGCGCCTGGGTGCCCTGGCCCCGGCTCCACAGCCCCTGGCTCTGCCATCTGTGCGCTAGACAGCCCGCCCCTGCTCCTGGGCGGGCTTCTGTCATTTAGTGTGTTTAAGAATCACCTATGTGGGCTGGGAAGGTGGCTCAGTGGTAGAGAGCTCGCCTAGCATGCATGAAGCCCTGGGTTCGATTCCTCAGTACCACAGACACAGAAAAGCCAGAAGTGGCACTGTGGCTCAAGTGGTAGAGCGCTAGCCTTGTACAAAATAGGCTAGGGACAGTGCTCTGGCCCTGAGTTCAAGCCCCAGGACTGGCAAAAACCACACAAAAACCAAAAACCCCTGTGTTTCTACTGAAACCACACCCTAGAGGACTCAATGCAGACGTGACATGGCAGGGTAACGGGGTGAAGTAGCTTTGTGAGGGACGCCCCCCGTTATTTACAGCCCAGTCAGACTCCAGCCTCCGCCTCACACAATGCAAAGCTCCTTCAGACTTACACTCACCTCTCTGAAAACTCGGAGTCTATAAATTCTCTAGCCCGTTTTCTATCACTAAAAAGAAAAGAAAGATAGCATAAGCACAACTCTTTCACGAATCATTAATATCCTTTGTCTAGTTGGACATGGAGACTCTATCTAGACAAAAGGACAAATACAGAAGACGCGTGTGCAAAGTCGAAGCCAAAGTAAGTTCAGTGATTACTTAGGAAAATGGTTGAGACGGACAGCTTTACGAACTATCTTAACGTGTGTGTGTTGCACGTGGCTGTGTGTGTGGCTGCGCCTGCACCATGGCTGCGCTTGGCTGTCCACGTCCCCGGAGCTGGGAGCGCTCCTCACCTACACGCGCTGTCTGCCGCGAGTAAGGAACTCATGACAGAACTTCCCAGAGACAATGGGAGCTTCCAGGCATTTTTCTTTTTTTGTTTTGGTGCTACTACAGTGCCTCACGCCTGTAATCCTAGTTACTCAGGAGGCTGAAATCTGAGATTGAGGTCCAAAAATAGCACAGGCAGGAAAGTCCATAACACTCTTTAACTACAGAAGCGGGAAGTGGAGCTCAAGTGCTAGAGCACCCCCGCCTTCAACCAAAATGCCAGGAGACAGCACCCAGGCCCTGAGTTCAACCGCCAGTACTGTTGGATACACATGTGGGCACACACATGCACACGCGCACACACACAGACTAAACAAGGAAGGGGGTAGGGGTACTGGGGTAGGAACTTGGGCTCTGCTTGCTAGGCTAGGGCTCTACCACTGCACCCACACCCACCCAGATGCTTTCTTCCCCACATTGTGCCTCACCGTTCTGGTTAGACAGATCTCAGAGAAGACCATGATTTCCCTACCCATGACTCCCATGTGAACAGGATTACAGGTGTGCAAGGCTGTACCCGGCAAAGCCTTTTTATTTTCATTTATTTTTTGTCGGTCGTGGGGCTTGAACTCTGGGCCTGGGCACTGTCCCTCAGCTCTTCAGCCCAAGGCGAGCGCTCTACCACTTGAGCCACAGCGCCACTTCCGGTTTTCTCGTGGTCTACTGGAGATCAGAGTCTTGTGGTCTTTCCTGCCCAGGCTGGCTTTGAACCACGATCCTCAGATCTCAGCCTCCTGAGTAGCTAGGGTGACAGGCGTGAGCCACAGGCACCCAGTAAGCCTTTTTATTCGTAAAGGTTTCAGGAGCAGTTGTGGACCCGCTTACCTGGGGGCCCAGCTGGTGGCTTCTGTGACGTGTGTCTGAGTGACCATTGCGGGTGCAGGGGTGTATGGACTCCCAAGCAGAGCACTTCCAGCGCTGGCTAGCCTCTGCGGTGTGCTTATGATCTGTAAAATCAGCACAAGAAAATAACACTGCTCATCATTAGGACAAGACTCCAGGTAGAAAGTAATGTCAACTACCAACCAAGGTACAGGAAAGACACTTGGCTGCCTAAACAGCACAAGCCAGTCATCAAAAATGTAAGTAACACCTCTCTCTGACTTGCTGACTGACCAGAATCCAAAAGCACCATGCTCTACACGCTGAAACGTCACAATGTAGGTCCTGGAAGACTTAAGCTGGTAACTGCCTGTGTCTTCCTATCAGAAAATGACATTTTTTCTTTCACTTCCACTAAGGGTGTGCTCCGCTAGAACGTCACTTCCTTGAGGCAAGGCGGCTTCAGAGCCTGCTGTGCGTGCAGAGACCACAGCTGGATTATTGGATGCTATTTTGTTTTCCAACATTTCCCCAGGGCACTCAATAAAGCACTCCATTATAAAGATAGACTATCCATACTATTAGATTCTGTAATCTCAGTTACAAAATATGAGCATTCAATTGTGATAATGGTGTGACAAACATTTTTGCACAATGATCTTGTCTTTAGTACCTATTCTCCAAGATTAGGCTGCAGAAGGGACCTTGTGGAACCAAGAATATTCTTTTCTTTTTTTCAAAAAGGCTCCTTGAACTGGGTGCTGCTGGCTCATGCCTAGAATCCTAGCTCCGGAGGAGGCTGAAATCCAGAGGACTGTGGTACGAAAGTCTTCAAGACTCCATCTCCAATTAACCAGCAATAGGCCAGGACAGACATGGGCTCAAATGGTAAAGCAGCAGCTGACCAAGTATGAGACTCTGAGTTCAAACCCCAGCATCACCAAATGAATGAGCCAATGAAAGTGAAGGCAAAATTCAAACACTATCCTGAACTGTAAAAAACAATTCAGAAAGAGATAAGGGTAGGAGTGACACTGTCCAAAAAGAAATATACTCAGCCGGGTGCCGGTGGCTCACGCCTGTAATCCTAGCTACTCAGGAGGCTGAGATCTGAGGATCGCAGTTCAAAGCCAGCCCAGGCAGGAAAGTCCGTGAGACTCTTATCTCTAATAAAAGCACTAGAAAACCGGAAGTGGCCCTCTGGCTCAAGAGGTAGAGTGCTCGCCTTGAGCTGAAGAGCTGAGGGACAGCGCCCAAGCCTCCAGAGCTCAAGCCCCACAACTGACCAAAAAATTAATTTTTGCTCATGGGGCAGGGAAGGTGGCTCAGGGGTAGAGCGCTTGCCTTGCATCATGAGGCCCTGGGTTCGATTCCTCAGCACCACATAAGCAGAAAAACCCTAGAAGTGGCACTGTGGCTCAAGTGGTGGAGCGCTAGCTGGGAGCTGAAGAGCTGAGGGACAGCACCCAGGCCCAGAGTTCAGGCCCCACAACTGGCAAAAAAAAAAAGAAGCCGGGCGCTGGTGGCTCACACCTGTAATCCTAGCTACTCAGGAGGCTGAGATCTGAGAATCGCGGTTCAAAGCCAGCCCGGGCAGGAAAGACCG